TCCGATCACTTTGGTTTTCAAAAATTAAACAAGTCTCTTTACATTTTATTAAAATGTATTTGAGGAATTGCGCACTGGTCTGATGAACTAAATAGGCATTTTGTAAACTAAATGTAACTTCAAAGAAAGGAAAGATGGAAGATGGGACATTAATAGGTAAAGCTCAAAGAACTCAAGGGAGCTGCTCCAAGACAAAAGGAACAAAACGAGAAAGTTCTGGTATCTTCAGACCTCTGTGCTGTGGTAATGCTCACAGGATTAGCTGCACACTGACAAATATGCCGCCTATATAAATCCTTGGCCATCATTTAGACTGGACAGATTGGGTTGGCTGACCCTCAAAATGGATGGGGGATTGACTCTTTAGAGGTAGTTTATTTTTTATTTTTTATCCTCATTAAGAAAATACAAAAATGGTATCTTGCTGAATTTTCTAGAAAATAAATAACTCTTTATTATTTCTGTGGCATGAGTCAGTGCTTCAATAGGAAACATAGCATCATAGACATGCACTGCACTGCTGTATGCATCTCCTGGACCAGAAATATCAGATATTTCTTAGGTGGAAAAAGGTACTAATATGAGTCAGGTTGTAACATTGTCCTATTCAGTGATCATTTTTGGAGCCATGTCATCTACTGATGCTGGTCCACCATGTTTCATGAAGTCCAAAGTCCCTTTTCCACCCAGAGTACCTTCTGCTTCCCTCATCTGACTTTAATAGAGCCACAGATTTCCTTTATAGAGCAGGACTTACTACATGCTCACACAATCAGAGGAACCAATACCTGTTCAGTGATAGTTTTGTGGTTGATGCTCAGAAACTCCCCTGACCTTAACCCTTTGGAGGAATCTGTAGAAGATTGACAGACACAACTATGCAGATGAGCAAAGACTCTTATAACATTAAATCATCAGCAGTGAAGCAGGCTAACTAGCCACTATTCAGTGCAGTAATCAATACAAAAGGAGGCAAAACCAAGTATTTGTACATTTTCTAATTATTTTAACTGGAATTATAGTTCTGATTTTATAGCTAATTTATTGTTGCTGAAGTAATATTCTAGTGAGAAACCTAATATTTGGTTCTAATTATCTTTTAGCAGTTATCCAACAGCAGTATGTGTAATGATGTATATCTATATTGATTCTTTCTCTGAATTGCATTAATGAAATACTATGTGATGACTACCTAATATACTGTTAGCCTGACCCTGAGGCCAAACGCTTGGATGGCTAAAGAATGTCTTTATTTCCAGGGTCCGTTTGGGCCAGTTGGACAAAAAGGAGAGGTAAGCTACTTGATCTATTTTCTCTGTCCTACATGTACAAAATCTCACCCTTCAAAGCATCAGTCCAAATACAGCCTGTGTCTGCCAAACAAGCCTCAGATGCTGTGTGGGTGTAATTAGCAGTCCGAGTTTGCTCCAAACTCCCTATGCGTCTGTTCCTTCTCCAAACATTCAAAATGGCGTCTCACCCTGAGCAGTTTTTGTGCACATGTGAAAGTGCACATTCCAGGATTAATAGGATTATTTAGAGATAGGCACTACAGCTTTAGCTTTATTGGCCTGTTTGCTGCTATCGCCATGAGGGAAAGACAAGTCACACTAAGCTGCAGCACAATTTGTGTAATTAGTAACACAGCGCTGATGAGCCTCACTCTCTTAGTCTCACTTACTGTTTGCTGTGCTCTTTGGAGTAATTATCAGGCAAAAGGAGTCCATATGAACCCACCCCCGCATTGTCTCAACAGGCCCGGTTTGTTTTTTTCGGCGGTGTTTAGAAAGCGATTAAATATCAGTGAGGTTTTTCGGGGATTGCATAAAAGATTATTTGTTTCTGCAAAGCATACTGAGCAATTAAACTGGTAATTATTGCTAATTGTAGCCAGGAAAGAGAGGGGAACTTGGGCCAAAAGGTGTGACAGGTCCACAAGGAGAGATTGGGGCAAGGGGACCACCAGGAAAGCCAGGACCGATGGGTTTCCAAGGGGAGCAGGGCGCGCCAGGAATTGCAGGAAAGACAGGTGTACCTGTGAGTGAGATTTTTTATTTTATTTTTATCATAGATGTCTACTTTTATCTGACAGCGGTTATGTTTCATACATGGCTTCCTGTGTTTTAGGGGAAATTTGCAAGTGAGCAGCACATCAGAGAGCTGTGTGGTTCCATGATTGATGGTGAGAGATCTGGGTTTCCATTCGCAATCCACACATTGACATTAGACATAGAAAATCTCACTTTGTGGCGTTCACTATCATGTAGGTCAGATTGCACAGCTTGCTGCCAACCTGCGGAGACCCCTGGCACCTGGAATGGTGGGCCGCCCTGGCCCTGCGGGTCTTCCAGGAAAGCCAGGGGTTGCTGGTTCTGTCGGACATCCAGGAACCCGTGGACCACCAGGATACAGAGGCCTGCCAGGAGAACTGGGAGATCCAGGTCCCAGAGGTAAACACCCGCAAAATGATTTCAGTTTCATCCAAGTATTACCATTATTAGAGATACATTTAAAGACAACCCAATGATGGGAAAGATATAAACCAGGCATCCCCAAAGTCGGTCCTCGACGGCTGTTGTCCTGCAGGTTTTAGAGGTTTCCCTGCTCCAGAACATCTGATTTATAATAGTTGATTAACAGGCTTTTGCTGAACTGCAATCATCAGCATCAGCTGTGCTAAAGCAAAGAAACCTCTAAACCCTGCAGGACTGCGGCCCTCGAGGACCGACTTTGGGGATGCCTGATGTTAACGAACTGATCAACAAAGTGCTGCCACACCTTAAGGGGACACCTGTGGGGTCAGGATGGCCGTAGTGATGTCACTATTCAGTTATTGGCAACTTGTGTCAAAGTAGTTGAGGTGACGCTGAAAAAAAACATAACAGACCTTTAAAATGATGCAGCCTCCACCATGTTTAACAGTCAGCAGTTTTAAGGTTTGAAATTGTCACCAGCAAAATAACCTTTGCTTTCTATGCATGGAAGGATTTTAAGTATGTTTTGCTTTATCCTCTCAGAAACAGAAAGCTTTATTGAGAACAAAAGTGTTGATTTTCAAGCAGAGAGTGACAGTTTGGTGGTTGTATCAGACTGAGTGTTTTTTTTTTTTTTTGCCACTGGCGCTGTAGTATGGCACTGAATTGGCTGAAGAGAGAGGTCTACTTCCAAATAATTCAATTGCACCTCATGTCTACAGAACATTAACATAGTGCTTCAACAGGACAATGCAGGGAGTTTTTATATATTAGAAATAAGTGATATAAGTTTGTGTACAGAAAACATGGCTTGCTGTTTGGAGTTCTTGACAGCAAACTCACAAAAAGACTAATACTGTACATGTTTTTGTTTTTTTTTAATGACAGGTGATGTTGGTGAGGCAGGTGATAAAGGACCAGTTGGTAAAGCTATTGATGGACCTCCAGGAGATCAAGGATACCAAGGTAAGGCAGCCATTTTCAATCCTCTCATGGATAACTGCTTCTCAAATTCATCTAATCTTGAAAATCCTTTCTCAACATCAACAGGTCTTCCTGGAGTACCTGGATTTGCCAAAGATGGCCGTGATGGATCTCCAGGAGATCCAGGTGAGCCCGGCGAACCTGGCAGGACGGGTCGGACAGGGCATCAGGGTCCTCCTGGGATCTGTGATACATCAGCCTGCCAGGGAGCGTCACCGGCGGAGAAATCCACAAACCCCAAAAACAATTAAGGATGACTTCCTGCAGCCTGACTACGCCGCTTTTAGGAGGGGATGTGTTAACATGAGAGGAATGACACCACAGAACGTTTACAAGTCCTCTTTATTTTAACACGTGTATCTCAAAGGAGGAATAACATCTACAAGTGTGAATGGAGAAACTTCCCAAGAGCGACAGGAACACCAAAACCCCCCAAAGGATAAAAAAAAGTAACAGGTAACATCTTGAAGTAAAGCGGATCAGGCATTGAAAAGTACAAGAGAACAACTGTATTGTTCCAATGTTTCCCAAACACAACAGGCATGCTCCATTTGTTTCTGTTATCATCAATGTGTCACACAGCAGCTGTGACCGTCTCTGCTGTGTTTCCTCAATATACAAACTGGCCGTGTAAAATATGGACAAAGGTGCAGGGGCTGAAAATGCTCTGTCCCAGCTGCCCCGAAATTTTGTAGAATAATGAAAAACGACTTATGTGCATTTCTTTTTCTTTTTTTTTTTTTACTGCTTTAATTTTTTTAAATATTACTTGTAAAGAGAAGTTAATTGACTAAAGCTAAAATAATCTTAAACAGTTTAAAACATTTGAATGCATAAATAATATGTGTAATTCATAAAAAAATTAGGAACCTTTAAATTTCTTTGGTTTTCTTTCTCAGTCTGCAATGACCACATCCACTGTGTAACACCGGTGCTGTAACTATTAAATACACATTACTTTAAATACTATTTATTATTGTGGGTGACTGTTGTATGTACAGTAAGATGCTACAGCGACATGTTGTAAGAACAAATAAAGCCACTTTTCAGTAAAACATTACTCTTTTCTACATATCAAGAAACATACAATCTAAAAAACCAAAATATATCTAAAAATTTTATATTTCAAGTTATCACAGCTCATTAAATATATTAACAGACTAGAATAAATAGAGGCTAGAAAGCCTAAACACATTCAGCTTGAACATCTGCTAAAACAAATATGTGATGGAACATTTGAAATATGTATTAAAATGACAATTACATTAAATGAGAGGGAAAACAGCCTTTTTCTCAGCAGATATTTTTCATTTTCCAAAGAAAAACAGCGCCGCCTTGTGTGAAATGTGGTTACCATTTAGGGAAACAAATGGTTTTAGTAATTCTGAAACTACAGTGACATCTAGTGGATTTATAGTGCAACTGCAGGAAACCTGTCCTCTGTTAACAAAAAGTAGACCTTGCATCTATTTAGAGTTAAATACGAAAATAATCTTTTCCGTCACATTAAACATCAACCTTTCAGTTTACTAATTCAATTTAAGATGCACTAAGTGTGGAACAGAGATGGATGAATTAGATCACTGCTCATCTGCTAGAGAAATCCTCCATGTCTCGCTGGCCTTTGGGCTGGATGGCTGTTGACCTGAAGAGTTGCTGAACTTTAAAAGCATTTCTTTCTCATTAATGATGACATTCTGAAACTCCTGCAAAAGAGAAAAAGTTCATTTAAGATAGAATATTTTACAGAAAAAGTTTAGCAGTTAAGCATAAAGGTTTTATGGTGTACGTTTTCCAGTATTTTTTTTTTATTTATTTCTGAAGGAGGCTTTTTTTTTTTTTTTGAAATGCGTATAATTAATAGGGAAATATAAATACGGTGTAGGTTTTCTTCTTTAATTTATAAGTTCTGTTTTACATCCAACCTTTTGATTCAGAATGACTTTGCAATTTAAATATATTTCATTGTAACTTGGGTCTTGTCACATGGTGCTCTTTGAAACTCCAATATATACCAACTATCTTTTAATTGAACTTTATTGATCTCACATTGGAGAAATCTGCCTCTGCATTTAGCCCATCCCCTTGGGGAGCAGTGGGCTGCCATCGTGGGGCGCCCAAGGAGCAGTGTGGGATTAAGGGTCTTGCTCAGAGACCCAGAGTGGCAGTCTTTCACTAGATAAGTGGCAGCATCACACCAGGAGTGTATCAGGATGCTTCACTGTTGGATGCACACAGAACACATGACAGCATCACATCTATGATTCTTTGGACAAAATGATCCTGCAAGCAACACAAACTACTGGAAGGATTCATCTAAAATAAATAAAGTTTTCTGGTGCCAATTCTTGTAAATCTGGACGCCGTTTTAGCAGTGGTTTCTTCTTGCCCTGTGTGTTTAAAGGGAATATTGTAACAGCTGCTGTCACCTGCTGCCAATAAAGAGTGGGCTCTGCACTGGTGGCACATCTTGCCAAGATAAGCACATCCCAAATTGTGTTGCTATTCCTGAAGTTTCCCTCAAACCTTGCTAAAGAAAAAAATTCTTTTGCATGTTCTAACATGTGAACCAATTTTTAGGAAAAAGAACGATGGCTCTATATGTTTGTGTTAAGATCGTCTTTTCAAGTGATTGATTGTTCATAAGGACAGGTGTGAAACATTAAGACTGGGCCAAGATATACATCATTTTTTTTAAGTTTTATGGATGTAACAGAAGAGAGACCCATGATGAACCAGATGGAAGGGACCACAACTGGATCGACGACAGGTAACAGACGCCAGCAAGGTGGAGGTGGAGTACTGGTTTGGGCTAGTATCAGAGAACAACTAGTTAGAGCTCTTTTAATTAAAGACTGGCTCTAAATCAACTCCCAAACTTACACCCAGTTATTAGAAGAGGTTTTACTCAAGCAGTGGAGCAGGAAAAAGTTTGCAACTTCAAATAGAAAAATGTTATATCCAACAAAGTTCAATAGCAGCCAATAAAAGCCTCAAAGACAAAAGATTTATAGCATGAACCTCTTACTCAGCTGAACTAAACCCTGCTGAGAACCTTCTTTATTGGAAGAAAAACAGCAGACCCCTCCATACAGTGTCCATTAGGCCGTAGCAGCTGCTACTCAAATGGTTGATCTTCAATTATCAAGAAGCTGATAGACTCCATTACTGGAAAGCCTCATTACTTTTATTAAAAGTAGAAGAAAATGTCAATAATATATTTAGATGTCCATCCATCTTCTACCACTTCTCTATGGAGGGGCTGGTGCCTATCTCTAGTAGTCTGTGGGTAAAATGCAGAGTACACACTGGACAGGTGGTCAGTACAGCACAGGGAAGGTTTTTGGACTGTGAGAGGAAGCCGGAGTACCAGGAGAGAACCCACACATGAACGAGGACAACATGCAAACTCCATGTCAAAGGGACCCTAGGTCAAGGTTCAAACCCAGGATCTTCTTTCTGCAAGGCAACAGTGGTACAACCTGGACCTCCATGCAGCCCCTATTTGTAAAATGTTGTGTTGTTATCATGAGATGAAAGGTAACAAATGAGATGGGAATATCTTCATTTTCATTTAGTTGCTGAATAAATCTGAGGATCAATTGTTGTGTACCCGCTATGTACCTTACTATTGTGGTTTGATATTATTAGACAGAGTTTGAACACCGTAGCTGTAAAATAATAAAATAATACCTCAAGAAAAAACTTCATTGTGCACACATCATATTTAACTCCAAGAAGATGGCTGTTATTTACAATAAAAGCGATCACCTGAAAACATAAATAATGACATACTGTAAAAAAAAAAAAAAAAGGCCCAATAAATTACTTTAGAAGTCTATATTATACATAGACTTACCTTCTTGAAGGTGTCTCCATATGTTTTATTGATGTATCTCAGGAAAGCAGCGGTCCACTGAAGAGTGGTGACTTTATCAGTTCCAGGCAAACAGAACGGCACCATTGTGTTCAGCTCATCACAGCACAATCGGATCCGTTTCCTACATAGAAGCAGACATTTTACAGTATCCCCAGTAAATCCAACTATGTTCTGTCTCACACACTAATCAATCATGTCCCATATCTCACAAGATACTAAACTTCATCTTTTAATTATTCATCAAATCTGGAAAAAAAAAAGTGCTTATTTCTTTGCTATTTAGCAAAACTGTTTTACTCTAGAAAAACAAATAAGACAATTGGATCATTTAAAACGACATTTCTATAAGCCTTTTATCACTATGGTTAAATATTGTTTATTGTTAGTTTTAACTTATGCAGTAATACAATTTAAATCTCCATAAAGCATTTCTCTTAAACTGGAAACATCACTGCAGTGAAAGGAAAAATGGACAGGAACATGTGGCAGTTTAGCCTGGTTTGCTCACAGCCATATATTTATGTAATTAAAGATAAGTCCAATAAATTTAGTTCATCTATTCATTGCAATCAATGATCAACCGATACAGTTTTTTTTTTTTTTTTTTTAAGGCCGATGGCAACAATCTGACACCAGTCAAGATGATCCCCGATATGGGCTGCCAAGATTTTGGGGCTCAATTCTTTTAGCCAATGTTGCTTTTTTTTCTTCTGTTTATATGATAAGAAAAATAAAAAACAACACGAAATTTGAACCAAGTCTCAGTGTATGCTGGTGAAGATTTTCAGTCATCCAGGTCATAGTCATTCCAATTGTTGGCCTTGGTGATCAGGCTACATGTTTTGGTCGCAACTCCCACCCCCATAGAGAGACCAGAACATCTCGCCTCAACAATTCCCCCTTTCAGAGAAATAGACCAGTATCGGATATTGCAGACCATCAAAGAAACCAAGCACCTGCCCATTCCTAAGGGACCCGTTCGTCCGGTTCAATTTGAATGTTTTCTTAGCCAAAACAAGGCTTAGCTTTTGGTCCGCTCTATAAAGCCTCAAAGTCAACACTATTTCTGATATTTTGAATTGAAAAAGCTTCCTGGATGGGAAGCGAAACGTCTCTAAACTTGGAAACAAAGTCCTGTGGATTGTTTTTTTTTTTTACTTTTTGGAAACTCTCCAGTGTGAAGAAGAAATGAACAGTTTTCAATCACAAATTTATGCTTTTCTTGCTGATAATATATCCAGCATATCAGGTGGAGTCTGAGTAATAAGGTGCCCACCTGACAGGGAGGTTAATGATCGTCATGGTAAAGGTTGCAGCCGTGGACTAAGAGGAAAATGTGGATTTATTGAAACCAATATGGTTGGGAATGGATGGGAAAGTAAGCCTGTTTTAATTACTAAAAAGATATCTTAGAACTAGCAGAATTAAATAAAATAAAAAAAATGTTCTTGTCTGCAAGGAATATTTTAATATTTAAAGGATAGGGATTAAGTTCTGGCATAATAGAGAAGGTATGTCTATTAGATCTAACATAAAGTAACAGATGTTTTATGTAGAAAGGGTGGAGGGCTACAGGGTGGCGATGCCTCCATTTACCTTTGTTTTCAGATGCAGTGATGTCCAGAATTTAACAATTTAAATAAAGGAATTTTCATTATCAAAAATACTTGAGAATAAGTAATGGTTTGGTAAAAAGCTGCTAAAAACTGGCCTTTTACATGTGGATTAAATGTTTAAGCAGGCTTAAAAGGAAATACACGGGTAGACAAACACAAGATTACATGCAATTGTGGAATTTTAAAAGCTAAATTAGGAAAAGCTTAAAAAAATACGCCGATTATACGAAGAATAAACACCCCCAGTAAAAAAAAAAAAAAAACATAGTTTATATCAAAACAATAAATATATTTGTTATTGGACATCCGATAAAGTAGTATACCCTTCAACCGGAGGGTTGCTGTCATAAAGACAGGCTAAAATGTCTCACCTGCGCTCCCTCTCACTGCGGTTGTGTCTCTCCCTGCGTTGGGTCTCTGATATACTAGACTGAGCTCTTCTGCGGCCGTCCCTCCTGGACACTCTGCCTGGGGCTGAAGCAGTTTTAGTAGCTTTGTAGGGCTCTGCGTAAACACTGTTGCAATGCCATCTGCTGACCTCAAGCGGCGCAACATCCTCTGTGTAAACCAGCGATCAAACAAACTTAGAAAAATCCTGTGTAGCATAACAGACAAATGGGTTGACTTAATAATTAAGTTAGTGATTTTTACTTTCAGCGATGACCCATTCTTTCTCTTCTTTAGGGCTGCAGCTATCAGTATATAATGGTTTTGTTACAGAGGTCACTGGATGATGGTTAAATGACAAACTTGGGGACATCATCAAACCCTGAGGGTTGCTGGGTTCAGCCATTTCTACAACAACCTCCAGGAAAAAGAGAAAATTGAAATATCAGGTTAAACAAGATGCCAAAATGGATGAAAATAAATGATGAGATTATCTTCCATACCACCTGACTGAAGACATTGGTTATCGGGTCAAAAACCCCTCCGATGTGAGAGCTGGATACCTTGAAAGGATTTGCTCGCTCAGCTTGTACCCACTTTTGTGTTTGCGGATGTGCGAAGGCCTCTTGAGTTTCTGATGTCTGCTGAAATACAGTCAAAAGACTGAAGAGAGCATAAGAATAAATGTTTTTACACAGTGTGCAAAAGAAAATATTAGAACAATGTTATGCATAATAAAAATAATACATTATATTAGTGCAACTAACTTGCTGAGAACTGCAGGGTGACTCTCCTGCTGCACTGTGGTGTCAGCACACATACTGTTGAATCTCTTCTCCAGACACACCCTCGCTGAAATGGATCGGTTTTTGGAAAACACTTCTTCCTTAACAGTCGACTTCAATGGGCTTTCTTCACTTCTGATTCTGGCCAGCACAAAGCTTGGAACCTCACCGTAGTGCAAGGGAGTCTTCTCCCCTGATATCATTAGACTGTGGTCATTGTTTAAGGTTGAAGTTGACAAGTCAATAGCTTCACTAAACGTGTTAGGGGAAAGCCCTGTAGAGCATTCTGCATTTTGAACTGGCACTGCAGCTGGGAGAGGACTAGCATTAGGGCTGACTGAGAGCCCGGGCTCCAATTGTGCTTGGATGAAGTTCTGAGGGTTTGAGAATTCAACATCTGACATCCTTGTCAGATCAAACTCTAAGCCCGTCGTCTGACTCCGACCGCATGCACCCGGGCTCCAAATCAAACCAAGGAAGTCAGGGGTGTGATCGCTTGATGTGGACGAGGCATTGGGAGTTTCGTAAACTGGGTGCATGGATGACATACCTCCCCCTGGAGATGGAAATTACATTAAGAGAAATACAATTTATTTAACAACACATATGGTGCCATATCTTTGCATAGAATACTGAAACAAACATGTAGAGCAAATTCCATAAAACATATCACTCTTGAGGTTTTTCATTGATGTTTCACACAACACATAAACAAAATAGTACTTGGATGTAAAGTAGAAGTGAAATGATGCAGTTTTTTTAAGTTAATTTGGAATAAACGTCCCTTACTCTGGTTTTCCAAATTAAAACTTGCCTTCAGAAGTCCCAAAATTAGTCAGAGGAGAGAACCTGTATATAGTCTAATCTTAGCTGCTCTGTAAATAGCATCATACAGAACAAAGAACACATCAGTGTACTATATCGCATCCATCACTTAAAAAGGTAGCATGGTCTGACCGCTAAAGCCTAAACAGAGGTCAGGCGAGGAGAGTCCAAGTTAGAAGCACATAGAAGGCTCATAGTAACTCTGGAGGAACCGCAGGGGCCCACAGCTCAGGTGGGATAATCTATCGCAGGGCAACTCTTACAGGCAGTTGTAGACTATCTCCAAGGTGACACAGATTAATGTCAATCGCATACAGATGTTCTCAAACATGTGGCTTTTGGCCAACATGTGGCAAAACCCCTGAAACCTCATCTCTCTAACCTAAGTTATCTTGCAAAGAACAGGCAAAACAAAGTCAACTTAAACTAGAATAATATTCATCATAAAGAAAAAAGGGTCTAAATGGGGCTCTACAAAGAATTGAAGAGAGGTGCGTACAAATACACACTAATCCTTTTGAATTTCTGTGTAGAAAACCTTTTTAAACCACCCTTTTCCTTCCAACTTGTTGATATTTTGTGTTTGTCTTACAAAAACCTGCAAGAACACATTAGAGTTTGGGATAACATTAAATAAAGTGGGCAAACATAAAAGTTAGGCTATAAAATATTTTTAACATGTAGTTCATTGTTATTAACAATAAATTAAGCATATAGATAATCAATTCAGTAAAAGTTTCACTGTTTTAGTGATTTATACAAATGTAGGGATAAACAGCATTAACAAAGCACTAATATATTGTTTTACAATAGCATATACAGAAGGCCTAAAGAGTAGAAAACTTCTATCTTTAACTTATTGCTTGAATAAATATATTAATCAGATCTTTTTTTCACTCGCTGATTTCATATCAAAATAAGTATTTTGATTTCTTTAGCATTTAAATGAGTTATAATAGCAGCTAGCTGGTAAACTCTATATTAGCATATTTAAACAAAGCAGCGAACCAAATATGCGACATAAAAGATGTTATAATCATTTATATATTTACTGGGGAATATATAAAAAAGGTACAACTAAAATGTTATTTTAATGGCTCGTTCAGCTATGTCTTTTTACCTGAAAGTTAACTTCTGAACGGATGGTTGTTCGACGTTTTTCAACGGTGTAACCCGGAGGTCTTCAACAGGAGGTTCGCGACCCCTAGGGGGCCACGGAGGTACTGCAGGGGGTCGTGAAAGTCTCGGTTGATTAGATTATATATATATATGTAACTGGGAACTGGCATTGAGAATTAGCCTTAGCTAAAATGTTGTAGTGTGTGACATGATTCATGAAACATACTTGTCCCTATCAAATCAACATATTTGATAGTGACAA